ACCAAGAGATGAAACCTAATGAACATGGGAAACATTTATTTATAACTATTATATGTAAATAATTTAAATGTAATTTCCCCAGGAGGAGAGGGAGAGAGAATATTATAGTAAATGAAAGTAAATTAAGTAATCTGTATCCTTGGGTATGTGTGTATAGTCTAAGTTACAAAAAAAAAAAGACCATGTGGCTGGTATGAAGGGCCGTACAAGCCATAAATCATTCTGGCGCTCTCACACACTTTTCTTTTCACATACATAGGCCTATATTTTTGCTTTGACACAATCAGTATTGTATAAAGCTCTATACAAATAAAGGTGACTTGACTATATTTCTACTCTCACACACATTCTCTTTTCACATTCATACATTTTTGCTCTCATAGTCACATATTTTAACGAACACATTGATAGATTTTTGCTCTCATAGTCACATATTTTAACGCACACAATCATACATTTTCAATAGCAACAGCACTACAGTGGATAGAGGAGACTCAGATAAAAAAGGTTATACTTTGTACAGATTCACGTTCGGCATTAAAGTCATTGCAGTCATTCACATCTCATAGTAGACAAGATATAGTAAATGAGATGTATGAAAATCTGTATAGATTTAAGAATTTGAACATCATGATAATATTTATGTGGATACCAGCTCATAGGGGGATAAAGGGTAATGAAAAGGTTGATGGATTAGCAAAACAGGCTTTGGAAAACGAGGAGATCATGGATATCTCACTTAGTAAATATGAAGCAAAAGCAGTAATTAAAGCAAATACCACTAAGGAGGGGCAACATAAATGGGATACAGGAAATACAGGATGTCAACTTTATGAAATACAGCGAGAAGTAGGAGTAGTGAGAATAACTAAAAGAAGCACCAAAGAGGAAAATATTCTAAAAAGATTAAGGGTTGGACATACTATGCTGAATAAAACCTTAAACATAATAAATAAACATCCAACAGGATTATGTGAGCATTGTGGAATAGAGAAATCAGTAGAACATGTTATTTGTGTTTGTCAAAAGTATACTAATGAATGAGAAACAATGAAGAATTAACTTAAAAAGACAGGAGTGGATAACCTAAAGCTTAAAAATTTATTTACTTATGGATTAGACTTAATGACTGTATCGTAAGAGAACAGAGATAATTAAGAGAATATAGAGGGATTTATTTATTTATATTATCTGTTTGTTTTTTTGTCTCATTATGAAAGGGTAAACGCTGGTCCACACTCCAATACAGTAGGTGGCGATAATGCACCTTAACATTGGTGCTACCCGCCATAAAACCGATGAAGAAGAATAAGAAGAGTATAGTGGAAACGAAAGTTGTATGATGGAAACGGAAGGCAGGTTAGGCGCGATCAATGTTATGCTCAGGACAGGTTATTTTTCCACTTATGTGACAATTTAGGAAGTGAATAAGTGAGGTTTCAGGTTAGGGTCTCCGATATCTTCATATTATTTTCCAAAGTTCAAGATATGGACTTATTTCGGTTTATTTCTTCTTCTTTTTGTTTTTCCTAGCAATATCTGGCAACACTTGACTGACAGTAAACGGACCATAAACAGTGCAGGCAGGTTATTCATGACCAGTGGTGGACAGTTACGAAGTATTTTTACTTACATTTACATTTATTTAAATTTTTGCTTTGAGATGCAAAAGCGGTGTCCGATTCATGAACCAACTGATTCTTTTCAATTAACCTTTTAAATCAGTTCGAGGATCGCACAAAATGATTAATTTGCGAATTGGACTGTTCCAATTGCAGCTGTTCTTGAGTCAACAACCCACTGATTCAAATGATCCATTCAGAGCGAGTCTCACATTTTGATAGTGAAGTGGTACGTCACTTCCTGTTTGTTGCTGCCGTGTGTTTTGAGTTTTAGCTCCGTCAAGTTAATTCTTTATCGTCTATTTTTTTTATCTTAAAATCAATTTTATACACCATAATTTTCGTTTCTATAACGTGTGAATACATCCCCTATTGTATTCTACAACAAAAACAATCAGAGCGCCTTGTTATCACTAGTTCTATTTTGATTTCCCGAGTCCGCTATTAGCATATAGCCCGTTAGCATCACCAGCGTGGTTGCTACTAATCTCGCTTACATTGCTAATACTCTATTCACACACATTACCATTGTTTTACTCACTGTTACTTGCTTTAATGGTGGATGTGTGTCTACCTTTGAGTGCAGGTGAGGACACGTTCGAGAGCGGAAGAGCGGAAGAGCAGAGAGCCGCGCTGGAAACATCCCGGGCTGACACTCACAAGTCCGGGGTAAGTATACAGCGTGTTGCTAACTCTCCCACCACCTCTACTCCGTGTGTTTCTCTGCTCAGACCTGGTGCACCCAGGACGCGATCTTGCCAGATGAACTTCACCGTGATCCTGAAGGGCAACGAGAGCACCGGAGCGGTCGTGGTTAATGACACCAAGCTGCGGCAGATGGAGACACTGAAGAGGGACTTCAGGAACCTGATCTAGACGGTGCGCAGCACATCACCCGCGATGACGATCATCGTGTCAGGACCGCTTCCCACTTATCGACGAGGACACGAAAGGTTCAGTAGACAAATAACACATTAAAATCAAGCATGCATGTTTAACTTCCCCGCTGCTGCAGCATTTTTTTTAAATATTATTCATTTAGCCCTATGTGACGTCTCTTTTTATAGTTTTTTGTCAACACACACATATGTAGGCTATCTGGATCCACTAATCTTCCTTACTGACTAGTGCTGGTTACTTGACAATTCATAATAATTCATGGGGGAACCCCTCAGGAAATTGATGTTTGTATCCCACCATCCAGTATGCTTTGGGACACATCGGTTTTCAGTGAATGCTCGCTGCAGTGTCTGCCCGAAATGTCTGTGCCCATGCAGTGTTTGCGTCCGCAAACTGAAAATCAAATTAAATTATTCCCTGCCGGTCCTCCGCTTCAGGGTATTGAAGTCAAAGTGAACAAAGCACCCGAGGTTGGCCTCGAGAGGCTAATTCCCCTAGTAGATCACTTAGAAGCATGGAAAGAGCTTCCAAATGTGTCTCAGTGGGTCCTGGTTACAGGTTACAGACTTCAGTTTGGGTTTCGCCCCGAGTTGGGGACCTTCTAGCTTTGTCTGTCGCTCAGTCCTGCTTACAGTTAGCTCCTGCCTTCCATCCTCCACTGCATGCATTGGCAGACCAAGAGAGGCTTCATTTGCTTTGCCCTGTACATGCTTTGGAGCTGTATGTTCGGAAGTCCTCTCAATGGAGGAGGTCAAACCTGTTATTGGTGCGTTTCGGGCTGCCCAGGAAGGGATCCCCAGCCTCTAAGCAAACGATTAGTAATTGGATCGTTGAAGCAATTTCTTTGGCCTACCAGGTGCAAGGCATGACTTCACCTTTGGCATTCCACTAGAAGTATGGCATCTTCTAAAGCTCTTTTGGAGGTCTCCTTGCAGGAAATATGTGGTGATGTTGGCTTGGCCACCCCACATACTTTCATGAGATTTTAAAGGTCCCATATTGTACACCTTTCTGGAGTTTTATTTGCGGTTTTGATGTCCTTAAGAATATATATTTGCGGTATAAGTACCAAAAACCAACCCATATTTTTACAGCTCCTTTCTGAGGAGCTCTACTGAGAACAGGTCGATTTTGGTCTGTCTAATTAATATTCATGAGCCTCTCTTCTGATTGGTCTGTTGTTTTCTGAGTGACGCACGGCCAGGCCAACCACAGGTAACTAGGGTCAGCGATGTCACAGCGCTAGCTGGAGGCAGCAAAACAAAGGGGAAAACGGGAGGCAGCCCATTCAAACCAGCGCAGATTTGGCTACATAAGGAGCTTAAAATATCATCTTGTTGTGATGTTGGGTGCCAGAATCGATGTAAAACAGCCTTAAATTAGAAATGTAATCGCATATCTGCTACCTCTGCCAGACAAAAAACCGACGACAGCTGTGGTTAAACACGATAAAACGAGCAGACTGGACAGAAAGGATCGTCAAAAATGCTCACGTTTGCAGCGCACATTTCTTATCAGAAAAGGTTCAATAAAGTATTGTCTTTAGTTGTTATGGGCACGTCTACAGATTTCTTGCCATATGTCTATGTTTCTCTGTCTGCACCTTCCTTCTATGCTGTGTGTGCAGGTGCACTTGTCCTAAGTTGTGCCTGAACAGTTCACACTAGGACAGGCATTATCCAGTGTGGCTCAGTGGGTATCTCGTCCTCCAAAGTGTCATCATATGATGCAGCTTGAATTCCCTTGAAGGGGAACTGTAACCCTGTTCCATGAGAAGTGAATGAGATGCTGCATCTCTTTGCCACACCTCAGTATGCCTGAGGGCGACTTGCTCCGACCTATCAAATGCTATCTCTATTGTGTACCGGCATCTCTTTGTAGTTTCTGTGTCTGTCGTCACATACGACGTCATTCGCTACGTCATGATGCAACACCAATCAGGATAGGACTAGTTTCACACATGCTTCAGATGCTTGCACACTGAAGGTGTTCCCCAAAGTGTTATCATATGACGCAGCATCTCGTTCCCTTTTCGGGGTACAGTTGTAACCTGAGACATTTTCCGGATGGTAGGTGCCAGGGTGTTTTGGCACATTGCATATTCCTGACATCACCAGAACCAGTCCTGAAGAAGCAAGAGGGTCCTATTGATCCCTGGTTGGCCAGTGCCCACGGAGGAAATAACTGACCACGTTAGTGAAAGCCATTGAGATGTAGGGACTAAGATCTTATCAGCTGAGCAAACTGCATTGTGTTGGTCAGTTAGCACCAGGAATAGATGGTGGCCCCCTCCAGCCTATGCCACCACTCTTCAATCGCGATAGCAATAAGTTCTTGGTTGCTAATGTCATAATTCTGTTCCAACAGGGAGAGTTTTCAGGAGAAGGCACATTGATGGAGTTAGGGAGGTTTACCATGCTGTTGAGAGAGGACAGCTGTTATTGTCTGGATGGATAATAAGAGGAGCGAAAGTAAAATTTAGAGTTGTTGAAGGGCATGGGAGGCCCTGGTGGTTCTAGGACAGAGACTTAAATAGACAGAAACTTAATAGAGAGGTGAGTGGTGCACTGATATAACTATAATTGGCAAATTTAAGAAATTATAGAACTATAACTACAGCTATAAATTGGCAAAACCTAGGAAGACACTGAACTGCTTCCACCTTCCCCTCGTCCATCTGGATTTCTTCAGGACCGATATTATAGCCCAGGAACTGGATGGCTGTCTGATGGAAATTCACATTTCTCTGCCTTGAGGAATAGGTGGAATTTCCTCTGCCTTTCCAACACAAGCCTGACATGTTGATGGTGTTGGGTCTCGTTCTGGGAGTACATAAGAATTCAGCTTGCAGTTTGGAGCTGCAGTCATTAAAGTCTTGCTAAGGCAGACATACATTGTATTTTATAGGCATTCAGTGGGCAGACCTTGAAGGTGATGTCCTTACACACAGCCTCAGAAGTGAGCACTTAACCAAAACTCTACAAATAACAGTATGCCAAATGATATAAGCAGCACCTGATCACGATTAAATAGAGAAATGTAAACATTCACACAATTTGCCTTTCTGTTGGACAATCAGGAGCTGGCAAAACTAAATCGCTGTACAATATACTGACTCTTAATTAGTAAACTGATGCCATCATGTTCACCTTAAATGCCCAATACAATATAGCTCACCAGAGTTTTTTCATGTGGTGTTATGTCAGGACATAGGATCAGTAGATCTTAAACAGATTCTTAAATTTGTAATCCAACAAGGTGAAACTGGCAGCAGAGCGCACCAGAGATGAAATTGCCAGCTAAGAGACAAGAAGGATACTGTAAGTGAGAGACCAGGAGCAGTAAGACTCACACCCATGAGAAAAGGTGAGTGGCAAAGGTTGGGAGTTGTAGCAACTCACCTCAGGTCTTGGAGGACAGATGAGACCATCACCATTGTCCATCACCTCAATACAGGCAAAGTCTCTGGGTCAGCTGCCATTAGTACTCTGTCTGTGACAGTCAGGAAGAGTCCCTTTTCATAGGTTCACAGACTGGTTTTGAAGAGTCTGTGGTGGTATGAAGTCACGGAGCAGGCAGAGGTTGCAGAGCAGGCATTTCTATCAAGCAGGCTTTCATACAGTGAGCAACATGGGTGGAGAGTTGTATGAATTTTTCTAATCCATTTGAATCATCATAGGTGGCGAGATGCAACCACAGAGTGTGGGCTACTTCTCGATAGGTGGTGAGGAGACCTGGCACATTCCAGCTGCCTTGCTGCCATATGTTTTTTTTTACCTATTGTAGAGCTCTTCCTCTTAGCAGTGAAAGCACAAAAGAGATTTTAGATCAATCATTTGGAAAACGATGTGGTTGCATCTTGAGTGATAATTAACACTCTAGTAAAAAAGCCACTGCATTCCTCTGGAGTGCTCTGGAGAATGGAGCTAGATTAAACATGGGACTGGAAGTCTATATTGGGTGAGTAACAGGTACCGGTGATGTGATGGTGGTGACAGGAGGTGCTGGGTTTGGTGGAGGAGTGAGGGCTCTTCGTAGAGCAACAACCAGCTCTTGAAAGGAATCATCTGATCATCTGAATCATCTGTTACAAAAAACTAAGACAAGATGGTAGTCAAGTCAAGTCACCTTTATTTATAAAGCTGTGGTGAACAACAGTCAAGATGGCATTCCAGGGATCAGTTTATGGCAGGGCCCCTCTCTAACTGCAGTGTGGAGGGAGATGTGCAACACTGTGATTGGATCTTGGTGGAGGAACATAAACAAATGTTCAGAAACATCAGATAGGATGCCAAGATAATTGCCAGACAACTCTAGCAGGAAGGGGAGAAAATAGGCCTTTTGTGTACATAAAAAAGTCTTAGATCTTTGAGTTCAGCTCATGAAAAAAGGGGGAAAAAACAAAAGTGTTGCGTTTATAATTTTGTTCAGTGTATATATACTGACTCCAAGCTTTTGAATGGTATAGTGATAACTGCTGATCTTTGGATCTTTCTATTCATCAAAGGATCCTAAAAATATGTTTCTTTATGTCATTCCAGACAGACTGGATGATGATCAGATCAAATCTCTGTGTGGAGCACTGGCTGCTGTCAGACTCCTTGTACAAACAAAAATCTCACTGGATTATTATAATTAATGGCAAAATGAATGTTTGGAAATGTAAACTGATATTTCCACTGACACACTACAGCAAAAGATAGAAATAACTGACTTAAAACCATTTTTTGTAATATTTTTGTAATATTTCAATAACACAAAAAATTGATGTGGCATTGTGGCTTGTAAACAGTGTCTCTCAGGCCAGTACAACAAGGGAGTAAGGCGTGCATACAGCACATCTATGGTGTCGGCGAAGGTAGCAGAAAGAGTTCTACATGACACATTAAAAATGTGTGAAAGATGCTGGATTGGAAGATCAAGCCTTAGACGAATGAGTGTCAGTAAAACCATTTGAAATTGTGAAAGCTTCTTTGCAACTGGCAGGAAGGGCTTAACAGTAGTAAACATTGACATCACAATTGCAAAACATGGAAGTCCTGTATAATATCGTACCTTCTCTGTATTATCTTTGAAAAACTCTTCATCCATCTTAAACTTGTTTAACTCGGACCTAAGCTCCCTATTTTCCTGCAAAAGACGGGATAGTTCTGCACTGCTTTGCTCACAGAACTGGCATTCTGCTCTTAGTCTCTTAGCAGCTGGTTTGTCTGTTTCTGTCTGTTCTCTATATTCCTCCTCTTCCGCAGCTCCTGCCTCTGCTTGATCCCCATATCCCTCTTCTTCTGCATCTTCTTGGACTCCATCTCTCTCATCTTCGTTCATGTTGTTTTGTTCAGTTTGGCCTCCTCCCTCAGATTCTCTCAAATTATGTCTATGTTGTCTGCGGGCATGCCGATCTGACACTGTGGCTGTGACTTCAGAGTGACCCAGGTGCAGGGTTGGAGCCCAGTCTGGATGAGACTCGTCCATCTCATATGCTGGTTTACCTTTAGACAAAAGTATCCATATTGAAACAAATTATTGCAATCAACAATGGGAATACATACATATATACACACACTAGATACTTTACGCTTCAGTTCCAACTAAACTCATGTGGCAAACAATACTCACAGGTGGCAAACATACTTACAAATGTTATTAAGATAATTTCTCGTGCTTCAGTCAGTGATCAAATCTAGCTCTCTAGTTCAGGCTGGGTTACACCTCGGAATATATGAGTGTTTTATTTGAACTAGCCTAATTTAGCTTGCTCACTTTGCCGCAATGTCGACAGAATAGTGCCAAGTTACAAAATGCAGAGAAACCTATGACTACTCCTCTCGGGAACAGAACAAAATGAGAACACAATCATTTGCTAAGTGAAGTTTATACACTTACTTGAATGAAAATGCTTGGAACACACTTTTAATGATCTTGGGATGTCTGCGAAGTGTATGTCCGTGCGTCTTATGGCGGATATCCAGGCCATCCGTCTCCGCTTGGTTACATCGGACACATGACTCCCTTCATTATGTTTCCAGGCCGGAAAACAATAAAAAGAAAGTCCGTTGTCTAATTTCTTGCCAAGTCGATCGTGTGAACGGACATTACATCCAACAATACAACAGGTTCTTCCCATGGCTACAACTTCCTCGACGCGTCACAACAAGTGGCCTCACAATATGGCGATTTTTCCCATCAGCCACCGCGCCGCTAGAGCCGTGACGTCACGCCCCCATTCCCTATAGGCTCTATTAGCCAAGTTATAGCTCAGTGTGTGTCCATAATCTCCATGTCCATTTCTTATAGAAGCTGTCAATATGCTTTATGTAAATTACTTGTGATTAAGCTCCGTTTTTGTAACTGATCGGGAGAAATGTGAATTATTCGTTGGATTTTAACTAATTGTTAGGGTAAGTAAGAATGTAAAAATGTATTTATGTAGAGCTGAATAAAAAATTAGGCTATGCGTTTCTAGCCAATCGTAATTTAAATCTTAATATTTTTCTTAGAAGTTGTCAATATGAGTTATACGATTGTTTTGTGTCTGTGTTCGTCTTGTGTCCTTGTTTGTAATTTGTGCCTTGTTCGTTTTTGTAACTAACGAACTGGAGCAATATAATTATTCATTCTATTTTAGCTAATTGTTAAATGAGATTATTATGTTTAAGTCATTATTTGTTCATAGAGATTCATTTAAAGATTTAAAAAGTGTGTTTCTAATCAAGGTGAACACGCTGAGCGTTCATAATATTTTTATTAGGCCGAATGTTGAAGATGTCAGTATGTTTCATGTGCATTTATTGTGTCTATAGCCACGTTTCTGTAAGTGGAACTGAAAATAAATAAAAGTAAGTATGTCACGTCAATGGTAGTGAACACGTGTGCAATATTTACAGAAGCTGTCAATAATGAATGAATAATTAATTTCTTATGTATACTGTAACTTAAGATCCTGAGCAAGATGAATTGTTTGTTGTGAGTTTGATAAAATGTTTTAAGTTATAATTCGCTTATGGCAATTAAAAATTAAAAACAATTTAAAATGGGTAAATCTTCTATACTTATTTTTGATTCTTCATTTTCTTTCCTGACATACTCCAATTCGTGTTAAAACACACTAGACATGCTTATTCTGTGCATTTTTAACACGTTTTGTGTGAAAGAATTTTTATTTTGTCCATCAAAAGTGTGCTGTCACTTTAATTGAGCGTCAGCAGCGCAACAAAAACACTAACCGCCAAAACCCCCGCTTCACTGCTGCTCACGCGCTGCTGCTGCTGCTGGTGTGAATGCACTCATTGATTAAAAAATACGCGCCACTCACGCTCGCAGTGTGAAACCGGCGTAATACTGTTGTTTCCTGGGTGATCCACGACTGTTTTTATGTTTTGTGATAGTTGTTCATGAGTCCCTTGTTTGTCCTGAGCAGTTCAACTGCCTGCTGTTCTTCAGAAAATTTTTCTAGCTCCTGCACATTCTTTGGTTTTCCAGCATCTTCTGCATATGTGAACTCTTTCCAACAGTGACTGTACGATTTTGAGATCCATCTTTTTACACTGAGGACAACTAAAGCAGGGGCGTAGATTATGCAGGGGACGTGTCCCCCCCCCACTTTTGATATGACGGAAATTCGTCCCCCGCACTTTTTTCGGGCAAGTGTGTTCGCATAGAGGTTTTCAAGAGCCAGTGTGAATAAATATATATTTAAATTCAAAGAGACAGGATAGTCTGTGCATGATCTTCAGAAGAACAGCATTTATCTGAAATATAAATATTTTGTAACATTATACATGTCTTTATCATCACTTTTGAAAATGTAAAGCATCCTTGCTAAATAAAAGTGTTTATTTCTATAATTTATTTTCCAA